TCGTTGGAGCCAACAGGACAACATCGTCTGCAAACAGCAGAGATGAAATCCTGTGGTCTCCGAACCGGACCCCCTCCGACCCCTGGCTGCGCCTAGAAATTCTGTCCATAAATACAGTGAACAGAATCGGTGACAAAGGGCAGCCCTGTCGGAGGCCAACATGCACCGGGAACAGGTCTGACTTACTGCCGGCAATGCGAACACAGCTCTGGCTCCGGTCATACAGGGACCGGACGGCCCTCAGCAGTATATGAAAACCCATTTAAGCATATATATTTTATTGTTAACTTTAGAACATCACTTTTATTCAGAAAAGTCAAGTTGATATAACAGGTTTAGGGTTAAGGGTAATGTTGCTGTGCCAAGCAACAATCTTAAAAATAAATGCATTGATATTCCAAAATAGTTTTAGAGCTGTAACAAATTGATTAATCGCAACTATCAATTATTAAACTGTACTTGAATTATCTGAGCTATAAAACGGTATATGTTTCCCAAAGTTCCACGTGATGCCCCTGGAGAACAAAACTTAAAAAGTCACCATTCTCACTCAGGGAACTTACGGGTGAAACCCCTACAGAATAATGGGAAATGAACCAATTTCCTTTGTTTTTGTAGGTTGTTCCATTTCCCAATTCCACCATGTTATGTCGTAAGATGACTTCCTCACCTCTCCTGCACACTCGCCCACTGCCCTACTGCTGGCAAACTGAGACCACGCCCCCTACTGGACAGTGCCGGTTTATCTCACCATGCAAAGACGATTATGTTCGATTATGCGCCCCCCACGCACCGCACCCAATTGAAGGGACCACAATGACCTGTGGACCTCACCACCACCAATTACTTACGATATCATGTTGATGCAATATGTTTATAATAATGTACTATCACCTACAAAAGTAGACATTTTAGAATATAGAAAGCTGATACGTAGATGCTAAGTGGGACAATATTGTCCAAAAGTTAGGGGGTATCTCGGTCGTATTTACTGAATGGAGTTTAGAATCCTTTATGTTGCTGTATGAATATTTTATATTCAGCCACTCATGATCTGGATATAGATGATACCAAACACAACACTGCTATGTTTACATAAAAGTTTGAGGTGTTGAATTGGGAGGCTCGCTGGAGCACTGCTGACTGCTGTGAGACTCCACTATCGTGGCCCCGATAATGACCAATGTTTGTGTGATTAAGAATCAGCCCCGAAGAGTTTGGCACATGACATTTAATGTGATGTTTACTGTCCATTACGTAGTGTCATAGTAATATAAATGAGAATCCTAGTTTAACCGTTCCCAAACAACAGTGGCAGCAGGTATAGTCTAATATCAGGGTGTGTTTCTCAAAGTGTTTCTAAGGATTTAGTCTACATTATAGACTTCAGAGTATCATTTTTGCTTATGGTTATCCAAATTCTAGGCTTGATAAAAGACTGGGCTTAGATGAGCTGGACATAGAGTTTAGTTTTACCAATGGCCAACCCTCTTTAGCCCTAATGACTTCTTTAGTAGCTATTGAAAACAAAAAAATATTTAAGATCTGATTAAACATGACGTCCCAACTTCAAGGTCCCTTATAGTGATCTCATTCACCAGCCGCATTATTTGTGGTTGATCAACAAGCGCGCGTGGGAAAACTCGATTGCCATACTCGGTTTACCAGCCTTTACAGCCATTTAAGGCCAATTAATGTGATCATCGTCTCAACAGCGTGACAGGTTGAGAACACAGTTATTTTTCCTATTTTTTTTTATAGGGGGGGGGGAATTAATCTAAGACGTCCGAGAAGAGGTCCATAATGGTGCCCACAAGAATCGATTTGTGGGACAATCACTACCTCTAGAAATTAAGATACAGGTTTCTCCTTAGATCATTCTGAGTTATCAACACTATGGCGGACTCAGGTAGGACTGCACTGTTAAATAGGACCTACGGTGACCTATGATACACTGCATGAAATGCAAACACTTGTTGTAAACGTTCTCTAACTGTGCATATTCTTAATAATCAACCAAAACCAAATACTTCCCATTAGTTACACGGGAGCAAATGGCAGTATTAATTGGTTTTGCAACACAATTTGCCAAAAGTTTTGGTAATTTGTTGTATTACAAACTTGAACACACCATGCCCCCTTGAAAATTAACTATCTTGTAAACCATTCAACTACCCCCGGGAAATAGCTTGATAAGAACCTCAAGGGTCAGTACCCCTGGTTGAGACCCGCTGGTACTTGCCCAGTCTGATGCATCCAGTGTGGTGCTGCGGCCATGTTCCCCCCCAGAGCCGCCCGCACAGAACCAGACACCGCCTATTGCACCATGTGCCTGCACCAGGCTATTAGATAAGGCATTTTCGTCTGTCTGTCCTTTACGTCCCCATGACGAACTTACCGCGGACAATGATGTCACACTCTCCAAAAGTTCGAGCGCTGAGACTCTGTGTTTCTCGGCCACTTTGCCACAATTCATTATGCAACACTGTTTTCAGCGAGACGGGATCTATAAGTTTTTCGCCGACAATATTCTAATAAATGACGGCTGTGTTCTTTATAGAGCCAACGAACAGTGAATAAAACATGCACGTACCTCACACCACGAGAGCGGTGGAGGCGTCCGAGTTCCTGCAGGTCAAAAAAGCTTCAACGAGCGGTGCAGCAGCAGGGACAGTATATGGAAAGACAGTACTAGTAGGAAAAGACTAGACAGTCTTATTATAGACATTCTATAGCGACCGTCTATAAGAGTCCGTCTAAAGAGACTGTGACAGAAGCGCATTCAGGTCGGGCGGCCTCGTGCACAATTGCTCAATGAGGAACCCAGAGGTCCCGGCGGTCCGGCCTACTCCATTGCCTAATTCTCCTCTCCTGGAGGAGCCCGCCTCGCGGCCTCTAGGATTGGTGCGATGTTGTAGTCTATTTCGTCCCATCCAGAGTGTGCCCTGCCCAGCGGCTGGGTTTCTCTGCGCGGATTCCAGCTGTAGCTCTTCACAGGGGTATAAGTACCCGCCATTCCAATTTTATAAACGGGAACTTGCCTACTTATCACGGGGACACGTCCTGCGTGGCGCTGCGTGACGCGAGCTGATCTAAACAGTTATACATATTCAGTGAATGCCCGGACTGCAGCAGATGAGCTGCTCTCGATGGCATGCGGGGACTTTATCATTGGCACTATGCCCTTCATCTCAGAGGATTTCCCACACCGTGCGCCCCTATACGTGAGCCCTTTGAGATGACCGTTGCAGTGCCTTTGAACTGATCCAACATCTCTCATGGTTAAAATAAAGTGAAAAAAAACAATGTGAGAATGAGAAAGACTTTTTTGCGCTAGTATATATATTTTATATAATCGTTTGCTTGTTAATAAAGGCCGCAGTTACATGTGTATCCGAATTCAGCTGCTGGGGATGCCCTAATGTGCTGGTTTTCAATGGCACAGAGTCACCCCACATCTTTATTAGGATTTACCATTGTTCATGAATGTTTGACTCCAGCGGTCTCACCCTATCTTGGACATAGTTTCCCGGTAGTCACCATGCTGATTGGGGACGCCTGCAGACCAGGTACAATATGCCATGAAATTAAGGACCTCTATTAGACTTCATTACAGAGTGTCTACTTCATAAAGAGTAATTATATTGTCTAATTTGTATGAATAAGTAATCAAGTAACCCAATAGTCTGCCAATCAATGCAGCCCACAACTCGCCGCCACCCCCCCCCCGGACTTATATTTCAGTTGTTTTTATTGTCTCCATTCACATTGCCCTGATAGCCAATGCCTACAGTATGATGGAATGTTTTGAATGCATATTTTTTAGTTTTTTGAGATGAGAAAAACAAAATAAAAAGCAGTTTAATTATGCATAGATAATGCAAAATAAACATGAGACCAAATGATGTCCAAAATAGGAGGAAGAAGTGATTTTGGAAATATTTCTTCAGCGTATCAACATCACGGTTTCCTCAGCGGATATATACCCTTCAATTATATTTATTCCCTATATTTTAGACATGTATAAGTCCACCATCAAATAGAGACAAACATTATTTTATTTGGGTACATGTGGTCTCAACTTATTCTTATTACAAAATAAACTATTAAACTGCAAAACAAAGTCGTCTTGATTATTTCTTTTACCTGATCTTGGCATAAAATATAATATTATGCAAGAAGACATAACTCGATCTAGAACTGGGTTGCTGGGACCGTTAGCTCTACACCATAAACCGTTAGGCCCCCCTTTTCCCTCATCTGTTGCGCAGCGGGACACCGCATTAACTCCAAACGTTTTGGCTCTCACAAAAATTTTTTATCCGCAGTCCCTACCAACTTTTCCACGTTTACGTACGATATCACTCCTCGTTTTAGTCTTTGTTTTGTACTTCATGAATTGGAGAGTCCTCTACGACCCTTTTTTAGTTCTGCGCCCACCATGTTCATCTTCCCGTGCGCAACGCCGCGAGGGTGCATGGTGTGCAACCGAATCCCGATACCATGGCTCTTTCTGATTGGCGAACAGCGGCGGGGTGGGAATCATGAAAACAATCACCCAACTTATATGTTCGTAAAACGCTTATTATATTTATATCTCGGGTGACTCCTGTCACAGTTAAAGCTGTATTCCCCGAACCCCCAGATGCTATCAATGCCTTTTGAAATGATATGACATGCACAATTCTTTGTTCCTTAACATACATCACATATACATCCCCATCAGGCGGCCCCTCCCGTGACCCCCCTCTCCAAAGTTCTATCACAAGCTTTTTAAAGAAAAAAAGACAGGTCTTGTGGTCAATATGACAGGTTGTGATCACTTCGATCACCTTTTTGATTTACTACCCGCCAAACTATTTTACCAAATCCCTCTTACCACCTATGTCCCCCCTTCCCACTTTCCACATGCTGTTGCATGGATACAAACAGATCATGTATCCCTGGTGCCTATGGTTTGCCTGGCTACAAAGAATAATTATGTGATGACCCATTTCGAATCATTTGCGCTTCAAAAGGCCAACGCAGCCCAGGCCGGAGCCACCGGCCCCACACCCGACAGCCCCCGACATCAGTGGGGAGTGATGAAGAAAGTCTTGTTGGTGGCGCTCCGAAACCCCACCACCCCACAACTGTAGGTGTCCCAAGACCCCCCTGAACTCCGCTGGTTTCCGGCATGCTTCTCAGGTAAGTGTGCACCCCATGGCAATCAGTAGTTTTGTCGAAGAACCACAATCGTCTTCGGGATGTTTTTCGACAACTGGACAGAGGCAGGAGAGACAACATGATCTATCAGACGACACGACTGGCCTGTAGCACAAGGAGTCCTTTCTGGCTGATATGTCACTTGACGAGGTGGCCCTTGGGCCCACAGTGAGCGTGCTAGGCTTGCAGACAGAGCCCCCATATCAGAGGCCAGTGGAAGAGTTACTTTGTCCGTTGCGGACGCTATGGACGGCCGGAGGCCCTCCATCTCTATCTGACACTCCGCGAGCCTCTTTGTAGCCCGACCCGCAACCATTATCACCCCAGCCGACACAACCCAAGAGGGTCAAACGGACCCTGGTACAAAAGGGGCACGTTCTAGAAACAGAACTTCCCCTTAATCGGTAAGGACAGGGATTCATTTCAACAAGAAATACCGCGACACCCCCCCGCCCCCCGACTCCCATGGACGCATTGTTCCGATCTAAGCCAGCACACACCAGCCAGGTTAAAGCCAGAATGTTGGACGGAGGCTGAATTCGATTGGACAACAAAATGGAGACAGATTTGCGTGAAGTCGCCTTTGCACAACGAGCATCTGAGAGAAGCCAAGTAAGAAATACAGCGGAACAGTTCAGGGAGCAGACACAGGAAACCAGAGCTAAGCAAGCTCCGAAGCTAGGTTTGGACCCAAGAGCCAAGCACTCCCACCGATCCGCAGCAAATGGAGAAAGATATTGCTGCTAAAGTACGGCAATGCATGAGCGTCCTGAGGCCGAACTACCGCCCCCGCAGCCCAACCAGATCAGGGCTAGGGGAGCCGCGACAAGTGATCCCACAATGGCGGCAACTTTCTGCTTTAATCGGCTTTGCCTGGAGCGACGGATGGGAGAGCGGAGCAGAAACAGGAGAAGACCAAGAGAAGGTACGACGCAGCACAGCTTGCACACGCGCAGCACTGAACCAGCGGAAGAAAGATTGGCTGCATGTGAATTCGCCTTTGCACGATCAACAGATAAAAGCAAACGACCCAGTAACCCAGCGGCTGGAGAAAAGCGAGAAGACCCCCACCGGCATCGGCCTTGGCCGGAGCGGACAAAGTGATGCGGCCAATGGCATAAAACCTAGCGTCAACAAGATAAAAACAAGGAAAAGGGTCGGAGCCGCACGTTGCGTAGGGAGAATAGTTTTCTAAATCACTTATGGATTACATGGCTAGCATGCAGCCATACCAGGGCAGAAGGGCCTTACCGAGCTCTCAAGGCGACTTATCTGAATGGGAGAAGGTGTTCCTCGATATGAAGTGCTTTGAGTAGAAAAGCACTAAAATATCATTTACTGATTAGGGATCGCAAAGGGAGTTTAATTCCTTTTTAGGAAAAAACGGAAGAAAATTCTCCTACTGCTCCTATTTGCCTTGGAATGCAAAAAGAGCAATCTCCAAAATAATTGCTTTAGAGTACCTTTGAGACGAATGTAAAATCAAGCCACTAGCGGTTGGAGAGATGAAACATGTGAACCAAGTGACGTTGCATTCTATCCCATGATTTTGGCAGCAGGAGCTGCGAGCCGTCTTCAGAACTGCAGCCCGCCTTTTGCGTGACTTTATCGGCTAGTTTTGTACGGTAAGTGTATATTTCCCAACTTGTATATTCTGCTGAGTCATATTAAGATATGCCATAAACCACCTTCCTTTACCTTACAAGCTGATAAAAGGACCCGTCAAAGGCGCATGATCAGCCTGATCGACCGACCAGGTCGCTTTCTCTCTCGTCTGGTGGACTCTGACATGGTCACTTATAGAACCTTTTTCGCTTTTCTTGTTCTGAATTATCATTCTTTGTCCTTTTTTGGAATTTTACCTAGTTTATCTTTGAGGCAGGCCCCGATATCACTGTGCACAAAACAGGGGGGGGGGGGGGCAGCTTGATAGCGCTTGTGCTTCCAGCAAGGCCCGGACATGGTATGCTTCCCCCTCTAGGACCTTTCTGTGGTAGGAGTTTGGTGTTCTCCTTGTGACGGTGTAGGTATTCCTCCGGTGCTATCCCGCTATCCCTACCATTACAAAACATGTACGATGAACTGCTGCATGGCATAACCTATGTGGCGTGACGAGGCCCACATGTACCATTGCTTGTGTTTCTGGTCTGTGACAGGTTGCTATATGAGATAACAATTACTTACTAAACTACTGATTGAACGTCATGGGCAACCGTGTAAAGTTTAACTTCATTTTGCGGACCGCCGGTGGGTCATCCGACTGATCACAATCCTCCACTCGGTTATTTATGGTGTTCTGTTTTCCATCAATGAATAAGAAGAAGAAAGATTGCTCAGTTTTTCAATGTCTGAATTCCTTGCATGATTTGTATTCGAGTCTCTCTCGATAGTTTCCACAGACGTCCCGGCACTACCCACAATTCCGCCGCTGACACCATTTTGGGAGATTCTATTGCCTGAGCTGCCCACTTTGACTGTGCAGCTAAGTCCTATATAAGGCGCCTCGAGCCTCCCATCTTAATGAGCAGGGGGAGGAGTTGGAGGGGGGGAAAAGGGGTGGTAGGACATAGACGTGATTTGCGGCCATTGTGATATCAACTGTTTCCGTTTCAAAATAAAATATTGGTTGAAAAGAAATATTGCGTCATTCCCTCATGACCCGATTTTTACATGTAACCCTGTTTAAAGAGCAGCAGTTACGCGCTATGGTCGATTTCGGCAGTTTCTTCTGCTGAGCGAGGTTAGTTGCCCCGCCCAGTCTCCTCGTCCCACACATGAACGCGCCTCGTGTTGGTGCTTGATGCAGGAGCAGCACGTTCATCTCCGACAGGTCTACACGTCAAAAAACGTCATGATGGGATATAGCAATATTTCTTTCAACCAAATTCTTTTATTTAGAACGAACACGTTGATATCACCCGGCGCAAATCACTTCTGTATACCACCCATTCCCCCCTCCTACATCCTCCCCCTCTCATTAGATGGGAGGCTCGAGGGCCTATATAGACTTAGCATCCAGTACACAATGCCATCTCTAGAATCATCAGACTCTCCCACAATGGTGAACTTGCGGAATTGTGGGTCGTGCGTGACGTCCGTGGAAAAATATCTATATATGGAAATAAAATACAACATCATGCAAGAAATCAGACAGTTGAACAACAGAGCAATCTTATCTTCTTTATTCATTGTATGGGAACACCCCGACACCCCCTAATAACCTAGTGGGGAGGACTGTGCTCAGTCTTGAATGACCCGGCGGGTCCGCACCATGAATATACACTTTACAACTGTAGCCCCTTGCGGGTCAATCCGAACTTTTAAGTACGTAATTTTATTCAAATGCACCTTTCCACAGCCCAGAAACCAAGCACATTACACTTGTCCTCTCCAATCCACATAGTTCAGGCCATGCAGCCGCCCTATTTTCCTGTTTATTAATAGGTAGGAGAAATCCGGAGCACCGGCGGCAACTCCAGGCCCCCCCGGCGCCCCCGCCCACCTCCCCCCAGAACGGTCTAGAGGTGGCCTCCCAACACCCAGGCCCGTTCATGGCTGTGGAAGCCCAAGCGCTAAACCTGCTGTACACAGTGATCTGTTATCCGACCCCACACCCTCCGAACCACCGACAAACCAAAAAGGCAAGAAAGAACATTCAGAACAAGAAAATCTATAAAGTTCTAAAGTTGCACCTGTCAGAGACCACAGACGAGAGAGAAAGCGACCTCGTCGGTCGTTCCAGGCTGATTCATGCCTTTGCGTGTCATTTTATCAGCTTGTAAGGTAAAGCTAAGGATTATTTCAACACTAATATTACTCAGCAGAAATAACGTTTGAACTAACCACTTACCTTCACTCAGCCCCCGACTAACAAGGACACGTCAAAAAAGGCGGGAGCTGTTCTGACGGACGGCTGCCGCATCTGCTGCCAAAACATGAGTGCATAAAGCAACTACATATGTTCACACTGTTTCCTCTCTCCACGCTAGTTGCTTAATTTTACCTTCTTCTCAAAGGTACATTCAAGCAATTAGTTTGGAGAATGCACATTTGATTCAATGCAAACAAGACCATTAGAGACATTTTCTTTCCTTTTTTCCTAAAAAGGAATTAAACTCCCTTGCTAGTCAAATCAGTAATGATATTTAGGGCCTTTTCTACTCAAGGCACTTCATCTCGAGGCAACCCTTCACCCCAACAGGCATGTATCCTTCCCCCCCCCCCCCACCTTATAAAGAGCTCGGAAGCCTTCTGCCTGTGAGGCATCCAGCACACCCAAATAAACAAAAGTGAATTTAGAACTATTCTCCTTACGCAAGCTTGCTGCTCCAGACCATTTTCTTGTTTGTCACTTGTTGATCTATTATTTAAGCATTGGCCGCATCCTTTTGTCCTCTCTATCCAAGCCTGATTCTGTGGACTCGCTTTGCACCCGCTTGGATCTGGTTCGTTTGCTTTTGATCTGATGATCATGCAAAGGCGAATTAAGAGCCAATCTTTCTCCGCTGTTTCTTTTTCTTCTCTTGCACAGCTTGCAGCTTCTTACTTCTCTAGTTCATCTCCTGTTTCTCCGCTCTCCTCGCCCGTCGCTCCTGCCACCGCCCGCTTTAAGCAGAAAATTTGCTCCCTTTGGGCATCACTTTTTCTCTTCATCCCAAGCTGATTGTTCTGGGCTCGCTTTGCTATAGCTCATCTCTCCGACGCTCCTGGCATAGCCGCCTTTAGCAGCCAATCTTTTTTCCAATTCTGCGGAATCTTTTTTCTTGGTCCAAACCAAGCTTCTGATGCTTGCTTGAGCCTCTGGTTTCTGTTTCTCTCTGGCTTGTTCTGTTTATACAGTCTTCTCTCGATGCTCGTGCAAAGGCGCCATCATGCGCTCAATTCTTTCTCCATTATGGTTTTGTCCATCGATATTCATCGTTGTCCAACATCTGGCTTTACCATGGCAGGTGGTGTGCATGGTTATATGCTGAACAAATGCATCCATTTTACGCCGGTAGTCTCTGTATTCCTTGTTGTGAATGTCATTCCAGTCCTTTCCGGGAATTGAATTTCATTATCTGATAACTTGCCCCCTATGTACCAGGGCGTCCTTTTGACGCCATGGGTTTTTCGGCAGTTTAAATGAATCTGTCTTTCACAGCAGAGCTTGAGTTCTATCGCGGCAGGGCTGGATCTCTATTCCCCATCTTTCTCCCATGCCGACAGAAAACTACTCACTTAGTCATTATCAGTTGCTCTTACTCCGGCCAATCACGATCATTAGTGCCAAGGCACCTACTGTGATCTTTGACATAATCCAGCCCAGAACGGACGCCGTATCAACGCCAGTCTTTCTCTGATATAATCAAGTTGTCTCTCTGCCTCTTTCCATTTGTCTAAAAACATCACTAATTAGGATTTTGTCTTCAGACAAACTCCTTGATGGCCATTGTTGACACTTACTGTAAGCATTCCTGACACCAGCCAGTATTAGCTGGGGACAAGTTGGGACCCAACAGAGGATGATGGTTGTGGGTATCGAGCCCACACACAAGACTACTTCCCTAATCCCACTTGATGACTGCCTTATATTATTATATATATTATTATATTATATATATTATTAATATATATATATCGTATTATTGTCCTTAGGCTCCGGCCTGGGTCATGCCTTAGCCATTTAGACATATCCACTGCAACTAGCATGTGACATCACATAACTTCACTATAGATCATGGCCCAACCATAGGCAGCCATGAGATACATGATTTGTTTGTAACCAATGGCAACATGCATGTGTACAGTGTGTGAAGAGTTATACAGTTTCGAGATATTAGAAAAATTAGATATTTCTTTTTAACTCCAAATGTGATCAAGCTTATCAGCAACTGGTCAGTATTGACCACAAGACTGTCTTTTTTTCTTTAAAAGTTTTATACCAGAAGTATTAGTTCACGGAGGAGCGCTTCCGGTTCATTTTTACTTCCAGTAACAATATGGAATATTTGAATGTCAAGTCATTTCAAAATGCATTATTCAATCATTTTTTTTTCGAATACCGCTTTAATGATGACAGTAGTTCAGCCGAGATATTGAAGATAATCATTCGTTTTACGGGACCCGTCCACATTTGAATCTTGTTTTTCCTGTGCTGTCCCCCCCGCCGCTGTTTCGCCAATCAGAAGAGCCAAGGAAGTCGGTGATCGGGTTGAAGCATCCTAGCGGCTATAATACACTGGTAATTATAACCTGTGCGCGAACTAAAAAAAAGGTCTTCTATGACTCTCAAATCCTTAATTACAAAACCCAGACCTAAACCGAGGCATTTATATCGGCGACGCCTTTGAAAGTTGAGCCTAGCGGATAAAAAAGTTTATTGTGAGATCCAACACTTGTTGGTTTTAGAGCGTTTCCCCTCTGCTCAATCATGAGTCAAAGGTGGCCTCACGGTTAAGGTTTGTAGCGCTCCGACCCCCCAGCCCCCCGGTATCCGAGGCTAGTTAGTGTTCCTTCCTTTGATACAATTATATTTTAAGCTCACAGATCAAGGTAAAAGACAATAATCAAGACGTTTTTTGCCGTTTATAGTTTATTTGAACAAAGAATTAATTGAGAACACCTGTCCCCCTAATAAACTAATGTGTCTACTTAATATGCTGTGGGACTCTACAAGTCTTCCCACCCTCGGGCCACCTACAACTTGACGGGGTATATCCTCTAGGACGGACACGAGTGTTGCTACGCCTAGCCGCAACACAAGATATTCCAACCATCACTCTTCTCCACTATTTTTGGACCTCCATAGCTCATATATATTAGCAAAAACTATGCATAATATAAAACTGGCTTTAATTATAGTTTTTCTCTCTCACAAACCTAACAACTTTTCATTCCCAAACATTCCCACACCAATAGCATGGCAATCTGGGCATGTGAATGGAGAAAAAAAACAACTGATAAAATAATTCCTTGTGTTTGCTGCAGGATTTGGTGCTGCAGTTGCATTGGCGACAATTCGTGTCTTGCTTACATTATAATAAACATATATAACAATCTTCCACATCTATGAAGACTACACCAATATATGAATTCAATATAGTTCTTAATTTCCTGCATAATTTGACCCCTAGTCTGCCCGGCGTCCCCTCAGCATGGAGCAGCCGTGCACCCACATGTCCCCGCACGGTGAGACCTTCTGTAGTCACACCATCATGACATGTTAAATCCTATAAAAGCAGTGTGTGGACTTCTTTCCTTGACCCACTCCCATGGCACCCCCGCAGCTGACCCTGCTCGACACGAACCAGCTGCCTTTATTAACAATGCCAAAACTCTTATAATAAATATATAACCCAGCGCCAAAAAGTCCATTCACCAATCTCCCCTTTATTTCACATTATTTTACCCAATGACGAGCTGATGGACCATTTCAAAGGCACAGCAAACGTCATCTCCACAGGCTCACTTAAGGCGTCACTGGTATGCACATCTACTGATGCAGGGCATTGTGCCATGATCAAAGTCCGGCAGAGCCATCTGATAGCCGACTACCATCTGCTGCAGTCCGGGCCTGCCCCACTTGTTATAACAGTTTAGATAAGATCTTCATTCCCGGGCAGCGCATGCCGGCCGCTGTCCCCGAGAAGTAGGCGAGTCTTTATAAATGACTGGCGGGTACCCTTATCCCCCCCCCGTGAAGCGCTAACAGCTGGAGCGCGCAGAGCACCCCAGCGCTGACAATGCCTCCCCCGCTGTGCCCGCCATAGACTACAACATCTCAACGCAATCTAGAGCGCGGAGGCGGGCTCCTGAGGAGGGAGGGAATTAGGTCAGAGATACTCCTGACGCCGCGCTCAGTGATCCTCAATGAGGCCATTGTGCACAGGCCGTCCCGGGACTGAAGCGCTTCTTTCACAGTCTGATTAGACTGCTACCTCTAGGCCTGACTTCTAGGCTTGTCTATATAGGATGGCATCGTACTTTTCCATAGCAGTCTTTTCCATAAACAGTCCTGCTGCCGTCCGCACTTGGACGGCATTTGACTCTGCGAAAACACTGACGTCCTCCACCGCCTCTTCATGTTGAGTGTACGTGCATGTTTTATTCACTGTGTCTTTGCCACTAATATCATCCCCCCACGCTCGTACCAATAATTTCGAATAAGTTCTGCTTAAATTATAAGAACACGTCACGCTGAAACATTTTAGCTACGAATGTGGCAAAGGCCCGGCGCACACAGTCACAGCGGCCCGACCTATATTGGCGCGTGTGACATCATAGTCCGCCGGTAGCGTTCGACCTGGGCGGTACATGCCCGGCGCGGCCAGCCTAACATCCAGGCCTGTTGCAGGGCACCTGGTGCCCAAGGCGGGTTGGTTTGAGCGGTCTGGCTAGGGTCATGTCCTCATCACCACACTGGAGCATCCTATGGGTCAAGTTACAGCGTTTCTCAACCAGGGGTACGTGGACCCTTTGAGGTTCTTACAAGCACTTTCCCGGGGGTATTTTGGAATGGTTTCGCTAGTTAATATCCAAGGGGGCATGTGTTCAGATGTTGTAATCCAACAAAATTACAAGAAATTTTGGCAAAATAGCTTGCCAAAACCAATATCCTGCCATTTGCTCCCGAGTACTAATGGAAATATTATGTTTGTTTAAATACAAGCTAAGACAGTTAACGCACTTAAACAACACGAGTTTTGCCATTTCAAGCCATGGTAACCCAGATACCCTTAGTCAATTTCCATTTGCCGTACCCCCGCGACCCTCCCTCTATTGGATCAATCCTCCCCAGCCTGGCCTACTTCCTGCTCAACCTGTAATCTTTATTCAAAGGTGTAGTGAATGTCCCAAACGATCTGTGCAGCAATTATGACTCTTCTCTGACGTCTTTATTATGTCCCTAGGCACAGTGTTCACAACATGTCACGCTGATTGGAGATACATGTTCACATCTTAACTGGCGGCTTAAATGGCTTTAAATGGCTGTAAACGCGAATGGCATCGAGTTTTTCCACTCGCGCTTGATAACAACCACAATAAAAGCTGCTGTGCATGAGATATATTAAGTGACCTGAAGATGTGAACGTCCGTTTAACAAGATCTTAATATCATGTGGTTTTCAATAGGCTACACAGAAGTCCCTAGCACAAGTTATATGCCATTTAACCTAAACTCTATGTCCAGTACTCTCAGCCCAGTCCTTTATCAAGCCTAAGAATAGGGATAAACCAAAACAAAATGCCCCATCCCTGCAGTATCAAATGAGCCTACAACCCCAAAGAACAATATTGCGACCCACCCACACTGCACATCGACTATACCAGCACCACTGTATGCTTGGGCACGTTAACTCTGCTTCTCATTATATCACTACCCCCGAGCCCACCTCTGTGAGCCAGGTCAACCAATCACCCATATCATGTCCAGTTCACAACTCATCGTGCTGCTTCCTTCATCCACCCCCCCCCTGGACATTCGGCCACATAGTATATTTCTCCACCATCAGTCAGCAGTGCTCCGCTGAGCCTCCATTCCAACACCCTTCCCCTTATAATTTAACCACATTCTCCCGAGTTTGTGTTTGGTATCTCTCTATCCAGAACATGATGACTGAAAACAAATAATCATACATCAAAATTAAAGTATTCTAAAACTCGATTAGTAATCCGACGCTATAACGCCTAACTTTTGGGACAATATTGGTCCCACTTTAGCATCTAACTTATCAGCTTTCTCTAATTCTAGATGACTACTTTTGTATGTGTATTAACAATAATATAAACATTTCACTCAACATTAACTTAATTACATGTGTTGTATCGTTCCACCAGGTACCATTGTGTCCCTTCCATAGTCTTGTGCTTTGGGCTCAAAAGACTACAAATCTTCTTATATGAAGAGCTAGGAAGCTGCCACTAGTGCCCGAAGGGTGCGTGGTCACATTCGCCAGGGCAGTAGGCAGTGGTAGCTGTGTGCATGGAGATGTGAGGAAGGACTCTTTACGACATAAATTCAAGTGTCTTTGAATGACAACTACACAGGGTCATTCCCCCTTACCCCAAACATATATTATGAGTATTTCCCTTAGATCCCTTCTGTGAGACTGGTGCCATACAGTTTTGATCACCGGGGCTCCCATAGACCTTAAGTCAACATCTACCAAAAATCTATATGTGTCAATAAATATGCTGTTTACTTAAGTATGAGATAAAATGCTTTGTCTGTCCCGACTCACAGAATAAGTTTTTTCTTCTTATTACTTAAGACATAACAAGGCAATAAAAAATAAGAACATGTAGGCACCTAATAACGGCAGCGGGGTTGTAGCAGGATGTCCCACACTTGAGGCCCCCGTCGTAGACCCGAATCTTAAAGGGGTAGGCACTCTAATTTGTTCCAGAAAGACCAGATGCACCGTTATTAACCGCGGGTATCGTTCTAGTTGGACAGAAACATTAACAAGACTAATTACGAGGAAAAAACTGCCAAATCGGTACTTATTCTAATTGACCTGACATGGATTTCCTATTCCAAATGGTGTCAAACCACACACAACGTGGGCGTCCTTGGCAAACCCTAAGTCCCACCAGCTTGGACCCGATCCCTAGCCGCCCTCACCACCGTTGGATACTGAAACTTACAACCCACCCACACCGGGCAGAATGTGAGCGGAAAGCTTTGCACCGCTTTTGGGCATTTTTTCCCGATTGTCCGTGTTATTTAGATATTCTGCCCGGCAACTGCTACTTCACGTCACTGACTCTACCAATATCAACTGAGGACAAGGTAACGTGACGGATCTAGCGCAGCACAGCCACTATTCAATGACCTGTTATTACAATAGCATATTGTTTCTTTCTTCTCGACTCAGGCCAAGCAGTTATGCGCACCTCTTATCTTTAAATCTTTCTTTAACACTTTCATTCCATCTCAACCCTGTGAGAAGTCTCACTGCTTCCTGTGGCTAGGGAATAGAAAACCGCTCTGCAACTGTACACGTCTCATCCCTGGCCGCGCCCCCCCAACCGTCCCATACGAGCCCCCCACTGGTCCCCTAGCCCCCCCCCCCCACTCCGACTCTGCGAGAGCACAGGGGCCGGGCCTCCTGCTGCGCCCAGAGTCAGAACTAAACCCTGGGGAGGCAGCATTTCAGATTCTGCATCATAAAATTGGAACAGTCTTCTGATGCTGTTAGAGACAGGCTTCTTCTATAAACAAATGTCCATGTTAAAGCAGATTAGCTGTGCATACCACTGAGAGATTATATCCTTACTCCTTTTCTTGTATAGTGCTTATTTAAGAAGATAATGCTTGTTGTGGTGTTACTATCTTTTACTGTTCAGCACCTTTCACTGCCTTGGCAAACTTATAGGTTGCCTTGCCTAGTTATATATAGACAAAAATTGTCTCAAAGTATCTATAGCGTATACAGTAGGTGATCACTCATTTTCGTCCTTTCTATAATAACCGGATGCTTGTTTAAGATCAGAGTCAAACACTAGCGCCGAGATTTTGTGCCTTTGGTTGGATTAGGATCTGGGCCTCTTTGGAAGGATGAATAGGACCACCCCCACCCCCCCCCCCCCCCCCCCCCCCCCCCCCCCCCCCCCCCCCCCCCCCCCCCTCCTGTCTTGTACAGGCCCCACCGTCAGTGCGCATCTTCCTTCCGCTCAAGCCTCCTGCGGCTTTACCCAGCGTACAAGGTTAGTGCTGTCGGCTTCGAGGTCGTCCAAAACAGCCAGCTTTGAACTTCAGGCCTTGATATTTGACCGTGTCGTGTTTTGTTCAAATTATCCCAAATCTTTGTGTTGACAAAACATTGTTTTTCCAAAAAAGTGGAAAGTGTGCCCCGTCGTGATTGATTTAAAAACTGGGTACCTCCAGCATAAAAAAACAATGTTGGTTCTATCATAGTTTCCCACGCATGTCTGTATGACCTCCTGTACACTTTATCACCACGCTGTTTTCAGCAGACCCGGGACCAACATCGCGGACCACCTTCCGCCCATCGCTTATTATTCTTACAAGTTTGCCACAAACAAAAAACAAATGCTGTTTCCTGAACCTTACGGTTAGGTACTCCGCTTACCTATTGTATAAATTGCTATGACATATAAACAAACAATGAATGAATGGTAAAAATCATGTTAAAAGTCGGTGAAGTGGCAGTGTAAGTCTGGAGCCCCAGCCTCGAAAGGGAACATAATGTTAGCCCGTCATTTAAAGAGCTGGACCATTCTGTGACTGCCAGTTTCAAGAAGGTAAATTCTGTCTCGTTTTAACAGGTAAATCATCTGTTGAGGACAAATACTCATATCCGCCGGTGAGAGAAGGGCTGACTCTCTATAAATGCATCGTCCCATTCCCCAATGTCAGAGGGACTCGGACAGCATGCCCTGACCGCCGCCCTGGCTCCAGGGCAGCTCATGACCACCCTCGAGCCCGCTCCCCATGCCGGGATGGCTCTTTTGGCCATGGGGGGGTGAACCTTAAGGCCTCCCCTCGCGGGCAGTGACAGCGCCGGGCAGGGCCACACCCTACCCACGTCCAACAGAACCATAGTAAGAACTCCGCTCGGCGCTCTCTGCCCAAGGACGACCTGGAGATGAAGAAGCAGCGGCTCAAGCCGGCAGCGGCACCGCGACCGCCCGGCCCTGCGAGCCCACCAGACCTGGCAGCAGAACAGCAGCTCGCTCACGCCCCACCCGGGCCCAAGGACACTGCCCCTGCTGGAGTCATCAGGGAGCCAACAAGAGGTCAGGCATCCCACATGCACCTCTCCACGACCCCGGGAGCCGGGGCTAGTACCAGTGTATCACAGAGAAGGGGCTAGTACCAGTAATCACAGAGACAGGGGCTAGTACCCTGATCACAGAGCCAGGGCTAGTACCAGCTGATCACAGAGACAGGGGTGTACCTGTGATCACAGCGACTTTAGTAGCTGAAGGAGCTGATCGGCTGTTCAAATAAAACCCTAACTCAATGATGTTGAACTTGTTGTTTTTTCGATACCACTCATGGCCCCCCCCCCCCCCCCAGCCCGCGTATCATTACTACAAGATGGCCGGATTATATTTTAACCAAGCATTCTCCGTACAACACCATTAGTTAACACACTTACATCTATGTCCTAGAGCAGCATGGGTATTCACGTTTGATATTCCAGTCAATTCATAAAACATGGCATATTCAATGGATTTAAAACACAACAACAGCTAGATTTAAATAATATTTCCAGCCATCAGGTCATCAGAATCATTGCTGAGGACAGAGAAGACAGAGACGAACTAGGACTGTTTTCAGATTGTCGTGTCTGTTGATGTAGATCCAGATTCGGATGAGAATGCTACATATATATTTAACCCTGCTGTTCAAATTAGACTGCAAAAAAATGGCCCAAACATCAAAGAGTATTCCAAACCCTTTAGGGTTATTGCAAAACTGACTCTCAATCCAGCGAGCACATGAGTCCCAACCCTACAGTTAAGTTATTTCATGAGGATAAGTTAAGAACAAATGTACATCTGCAAGGAACCACCAAAAGACTTTCATTGGATTCATTTATGAGACTCATCACTCTCAAAATTGAGTCTTTAGTTCAGGGGTGCTCACACTTATTCAGCCGGCGAGCGGGTTACTTATAAAAGGAACAAGTCAAAATGATCTACCTATACAAAAATGCCCACCTCCCTCACTTTCACCACAACTATTACTTTATATTACAAAGTATGTTTTGTACATGCACCACCGCATGCGCCATATAGGCAAACACACACAAATACCTATGTACATTTTTTGTATTCCCCGAGTTTACACTTAATGACTTGCACTGAATCTTGAATCCGGCCAGGGAAGGCATAGGTCCGGAAAATGGGATGGTAAACTCGCTGACCAAGTTTATCGTGTTTTGCTTCCTGCACTGAGCGGTTGATTGGCATGAGGCAGGTCACCTTAGAGTCAGTAAAACATACGCGTAAAACAACAGATGTCATTAGACTCGTGGTGCCATGTCCCATGTTGCCAGCCTTGTTTTTATATCCATCCACAAAATTTCCCCTCCCTCAGTTTACAACATAATTTGCATCCACACAATCTGCGTTATCATCACTTGTCACACCTTCCCCAACCAATTTGGCGTCTCTATTACGTCCTAGTCCTGCGTTGGGGAAAAACACAGCAGTGGGCGGAGCTTAGATGCAGACGCCGGGTACCCCCGGCCTTTTACAGTCATAGAAGACACTCAGAGTAAAGCCCGTATGTTTACAAGCACTGACCCCGTCTCAGCCCTTGTTTAGTCCTGGTTTAGTCCTGGATTAGTTAGTTTACGAGCCGGGAGTCCAGCGATCACTTTGCTGCTCTCTGAAGTGGACGCGCGGATGTTCGCTGCTGCGCGTATCTCAAGCCGGAACAGTTTTATAAGGTAGTATGATCCATGCTTCAGTGACTCAGAGGATTAAGGGGGGTACTGTGGCGTGCGAGAAGCAAAACTCCGGTTATCTCTGTGCACTCACACAATGCATTACGGATGTTTTCAACCATCACCACTTTGCCCGGGATTTTTAGTATAAATACGTTTAAGAATGTGTAAGTTTTTATTTAGTTATGCGAATTCCCAATACTCCCAAGCCCCGCTCGCCAGGTACGCTCGCGATCGACGTATTGCGCCACCCCTGCTTTAGTTATTTGGGCGCCATCTGCATTGGTGAACGCAAGATACTGTCTGACTTCTGAAGCTAAGTAGGGCTTGGCCTGTGTAGTACTTTGCTGGGAGACCACTGGGATCCTCAGGTGCTTGTTACGTACTAAGCTTGCGTTGTACTTGGCACGACAGTCTCCCGCGTTCATCGGATGAGTCGGAGTAGAGTTGGTTGGTGGAGGTTGAAGGGGCCCAAGCCCTAATACTAGTTGCCTCACTTTGTCAGTCTTTCCCGGGCCGCTGGTGGGCTCATTAGTGGCATCTCACCACGTGATCGACTGGGATGGAATGATGCCATGTGAAGCGTCTTTGCGTGTCTAAAAAGATACCAATATATCAACCCATTGCATTAATATCAAAAAAAAACAATGCTTCTACCTTGACAGTGCTTTATGGTGCTTGCCAGGCCTAATGTGCACTTGGTTTCTGTCACTCCCCCAAGACCTTACCCCATAACACGTGCTGGTGGCCACAGTTTGTGTATATCTTAGTGCTCTTGTGTACTGTGATCTGGACTTGAATGAACGGTCCCTGTTTACCCCTACCGACCTTAAATACTGGACCCATTAACCCAGCACTGCCCGCTCCCCGCTCCCGTAAAGAACATTTCCTTCTTATTTCACACTAAAAATCATGATAGGAACCCGGACCAAACGATTGATGTCTCTTGCTGTATCCGCAGGCCGGAATGTTCAGGCCATCAATTTCTTTTCTTTGGATCATCTTGCTATCGATCTAGCATTGGCCTTTGGGCAGACGGTCGTGGGTTCAAGCCACCATAAGCCCTAATTCCAAGCACTCCCCTGCTGACTGCTGTCGATGTGTCTTGGGCAAGACACAAACCCTATATGCCCACACGCCCCAACTGACAAGATCTCAGTCCTGTGGAACACCCCTGCAGGAGGTTCAGTGAGGGGCTGGTGCTCCGTGAACTGGGAGCAAGCTATAAGCCTGCCCACCCCCCGACCCAGACATGGATTAACGGGGACGAAAAGGGTGGTGGATGGATGATATCGAGCCCCGTTTAGCCTTGGAAGTCAGTGAATTCCTCGGGAACTGATCAGCCGACCCTGCCCCCCAGAACACATCACTGACCTTAATAGCGTACCCACCCCCTATGATTGTCATTCAAAACAGTCTGGTCATAATTCCATTTCAGACAGCTGAACACCCAGCACCTAAAAAACTGTAGGAGAGAACCATCTTAACACCCCGCCCTGAACCAACTTACCACCGGCCCCTTCTTTATCAGCCTAGGGACACCCTCATTTGGAAACACAACCACATTCAACTCCCAAAATCCTTGAAACCTAGTTTATCTGAAAACAGGCCGGTCCTCACTGGGGTACTCTTAGCCCAGGTATTCCAAAGTGGTTTTACTTGAAATGGCAATGAAACAGAATCGGATTCCCTCCTTGGGTTTCCACATGCATATGATTTTAGGCCCGATCACATCTTTAGATCAGCTTTTTCAGTGACCACGAAAGACCCCAGCCCTCCCCTCAAGCCACCATGGCCCACTATCCGCATGTCTCATATCATAATTTACATTCTTCTAGGCCATTATGGCTGATTGAGGGCTGGTTCTTTCTAGTTCACTGAACAAGCTGATCTAAAGATGTGATAAAGGGCCAAACATCACATGCCTGTGGAAAACCAAGGATGGAAACAGTACAGATTCATTTGCCATTTGCAGTAAAACCACTTTGGAATACCTGTGCAAGAGACCCTGGTGGACCGATCTGTTTTCGATAGTAAAACTAGTTTCCAGGATTTTGGTAGATTATATTTGTTGCAGTGGTTTCAAATAGGTACCCAAGCTATTAAAGACGTGCCTGTTGAATGTGTTTCAGGGGTGTTAGATGGTTCACTCCTACAGTTTGAAAGGTGCTGTGAGTTATCGTCGGAAATGGAATAGGACCCAGGAACAGTTTTAATTACCAAACCTAAGGACGTGAACGCCTATAAAGTACCAGATAAATGTTACAGTCATTGACGTCATACTTTTGTCCCAGAGGATTCACTGACTTCCCAAGGCTACACGGGGCTCCGATGATCATCCATCCATCACCCATTTCTTCCCCTTAATCCATTTCTGGGGTCGGCGGGGGGGGTGGCAGTCAGAGCTGCACCCAAGTACACTTGCACCCGCCCTCCATGATCCTCAGCAGGTGGTGAGTCCACAGGAGTGCGATCTTTCAGTGGGGGTTTGGGCAAAGTCGGGATAAGTGTTACTTGCCAAGGACACACACGACAGCAGTCATCAGTGGGCGTCATGAAGTAGGTCTTTTGGTGGGCTTGAACCCACGACATTCAGGCCCACAGGCCAATGCTAGGCTCCGATAACAAGTGCTCCCAAATGAAAAAAACTGGAAGGCCTTAACATTCCAGCCGGCTGATGACATAAGCAAGACATCAATCTTTTGGACCTGGTTCTAACATTATTTTTCGTGTGAGACAAGAAAGAAATGTTCTTTACTGGACTGGATCATGCTTCCTTGTAATGTTCCCAGTCATTAGTCCGTCTGTGTACGCAATGACTTTTCATTTCAAGGTCCATGATCACCAATTACACACGCGCACTAAGATATACAGCAGGACTGTGCGCACGAGCAGCGTAAGTGAAAAGGGATTCAGAGGACCACCACGTGAAATTCGGCTGGCCAGCCCCAACCGCTGTCAAGGATAGAAGCTTTTTTTTTTATTTGTTATATCCTGCTCAATGTTTTTATATATTTGTAACTTTTTTAGGACACTCAAAGACGTTCACATTGGCTCATTCCTCCCCCAGTCGATACACCGGTGGTGCTAGCCACTAATGTATCCACAGCTGCCCTGGGAAAGGATGCCAGAAGTGAGGCAATAGTCTACGGCTTATGGCCCTTCACCCACCACCAACCAACACACACCAGACTCATCTCTGAACGCGTGTGACGAGTCTATGCCAAAAGATACAACGAAAGTTAGTACTTCACAAGCACCTGATGATCCAGCGGTCTCCATCAAAGTACTACCCGGCCAAAAGCCCTACTTAGCTTCAGAAGTAGACAGTATCTTGCTTGCACATGCAGATGGCGCCCCAAATAACTACAAGCAGGGGTGCTCAATACGTTCTCGATCGCGATATACCAGTCGATCGCAAAGGTAGTTATGGTTTTAGATCGCATTAACTAACTACAAACTTACACATTCTAAACGAATATAACAAAACAAATCCGGGCCACAGTGGTGATTTTTGAAACCTCGATAAGCATTTATGTGTGTAGGACAGAGATAACCGGCGTTTTGCGTTCTCGCACGCCACAGTACCCCCCTAATTCTTGTTCACTGAAGCATGGCTCAGACTACCTTAAACAACTGTTCGCTGTGAGATATCGCAAGCAGCGCCCATCCTCCGCCTCCACCTCAGAGAGCAGCAAAGTGATCGCGGGGACTCACGCACGAAAACAAAACTAAACCAGGACTAAAACAGGAACCTACCAGGGTGAGACGGTGGTCAGTGTTTTTGTAACACATACGTCATTACTCTGAGAGTCTTCTATGACTGTCACCCGTGCCGTAATCCCTGCGTCAGCATCCAAAGCTCGCCCACTTTGTGTTTTTCCCCAACGCCAGGACAGGAAGTAAGAGACGCACATGTTGAATGTTCCAAAATGTGAATTGATAACGCAGATGTGTGGATGCAAATTCTTTTATAACGTAGGAGGGGAACTATTTGGCAGTTTACAAAAACAGGCATGGGCACATGGACAATGGCCCCACAGTCCAATGACCTCATGTGACTACTCAGTAATGGTTTACTGACATAAGGTGACTGACATGCGCAACAACCGTCAGTGCGGAACGCTAAACCACGAACCAAACTAGTCAGCGAGATACCACCAATTTTCCGGACTAGCCTCCCCTCGGCCGCTACAATATCAGTGCCCAGACCACAGAGTCACCACGTGGTTAATGACCAAAAATTAGTACCTAGGTAATTGGTGTTGTGTTGTGCAATATGGGCTCCGCAGGTTTGATGTACATAACAAAACATTGTGCTATCACCGCATCATTTTTAGCACTCTATGATTTGCAATTGTGTAGTAGGTAGCTTCATTTTGACATGATCCTAGTTTTCAGTAGCTGATGCTGAAAAACGAGTGGAGCACCCCTGCACTACAAGACTCCAATATTGCGATTGATGAGTTCATACATGAATCCCATGACAGTCTTTTGGATGTTGTATCCTTGCAGGGTACATTTGTTCTTAACTTATCCTCCTGTATAACTTACTGTATGTTTGGCCTTCATGTGCAAGCTGGATTGATGGAGTCAGTTTTGCAATAACCTACATGTCTAGACCTCCATCTTTGAGGTTTTTTTGCCATATTTTTTGCAGTCTAATTTGAACACCGCCTGGTTTACCTATCCTACGTAGCAGTTCTCGTCCGACTCTGGCATCACATCAACAGGTACACTACAATCTGATCACCAGACCCCAATTTCTTGTCTTTCTCTGTCCTAGCAAATCTTCTGATGAAGATGGCTGGACAGCTACTAATTATAAATCTATCTGTAGTTCGTGTGTGTTTTAAAACACCCATAGAATATAGCGATGTTTTATGCATTGGACTGAGACAAACTTAGGGACATAGATGTAATAGTAACATAATTGGTGTTTACTTAGAAATGCCTTTTAAAAACAATCCGACCATTTCTGACGTAATTATACGCTCTTGTCTGTGCATGATTGGATCTAAAAAACAACAAGATCAACAATACAATGAGTTAGGGTTAATTGTTGAACCCAGTATGGGGCCTCATTATGGTATTGCCTGTTCTGTGATCATGGTACTAGCCCTGTACTCCGTGGGATACCGTGGAGCGGTTAGGCAGTTGGATGCCTGCCACTTGATGCCACCCTGCAGCCTCCGCTTCTCGGCTTGGGATCCCCAGAGAGACCCCCCTGGTTCTGGGAACGGTGACACTTAGAAAAATAATTGATATCAACTGGTTCTGGGACCGGTCCTCCCGGAGGTCCCAGAGCCCAGTATGGGGCCTCATTCCCGGCTTGGGATGACCTCAGAGACCCCCCCTTGGTTCTCAGACCGGTGACACTTAGTCAAAATTTCTCTAAGTGTCTCACTTGTAGTACCAGGCTCACCTCTGAGACCCGGACTTAGACCTCTGAGACTGGCCTTGGAGGTCTGAGACCCCCCCGGACCTCTGGGACCCGGACTTAGACCTCTGAGACCCGGACTTAGACCTCTGAGACTGGCCCCGGAGGTCTGAGACCCCCCGGACCTCTGGGACCCGGACTTAGACCTCTGAGACCCGGACTTAGACCTCTGAGACTGGCCCCGGAGGTCTGAGACCCCCCCGGACCTCTGGGACCTCTGGGACCCGGACTTAGTCCTCTGAGACTGGCCCCGGAGGTCTGAGACCCCCCCGGACCTCTGGGACCCGGACTTAGACCTCTGAGACTGGCCCCGGAGGTCTGAGACCCCCCCGGACCTCTGAGACCCAGCCCCGGACCTCTGAGACCCAGCCCCGGACCTCTGAGACCCCCCCGGACCTCTGAGACCCAGCCCCGGACCTCTGAGACCCAGCCCCGGACCTCTGAGACCCCCCCGGACCTCTGAGACCCAGCCCCGGACCTCTGGGACCCAGACTTAGACCTCTGAGTCCCGGACCCAGGCCTCTGAGACTGGCCCCGGAGGTCTGAGACCCCCCCGGACCTCTGGGACCCGGACTTAGACCTCTGGGACCCGGACTTAGTCCTCTGAGACTGGCCCCGGAGGTCTGAGACCCCCCCGGACCTCTGGGACCCGGACTTAGTCCTCTGAGACTGGCCCCGGAGGTCTGAGACCCCCCCGGACCTCTGGGACCCGGACTTAGACCTCTGGGACCCGGACTTAGTCCTCTGAGACTGGCCCCGGAGGTCTGAGACCCCCCCGGACCTCTGGGACCCGGACTTAGACCTCTGAGACCCGGACTTAGACCTCTGAGACTGGCCCCGGAGGTCTGAGACCCCCCCGGACCTCTGGGACCCGGACTTAGACCTCTGGGACCCGGACTTAGTCCTCTGAGACTGGCCCCGGAGGTCTGAGACACCCCCGGACCTCTGGGACCCGGACTTAGACCTCTGGGACCCGGACTTAGTCCTCTGAGACTGGCCCCGGAGGTCTGAGACCCCCCGGACCTCTGGGACCCGGACTTAGTCCTCTGAGACTGGCCCCGGAGGTCTGAGACCCCCCCGGACCTCTGGGACCCGGACTTAGTCCTCTGAGACTGGCCCCGGAGGTCTGAGACCCCCCCGGACCTCTGGGACCCGGACTTAGACCTCTGGGACCCGGACTTAGACCTCTGAGACTGGCCCCGGAGGTCTGAGACCCCCCCGGACCTCTGGGACCCGGACTTAGACCTCTGGGACCCGGACTTAGTCCTCTGAGACTGGCCCCGGAGGTCTGAGACCCCCCCGGACCTCTGGGACCCGGACTTAGACCTCTGGGACCCGGACTTAGTCCTCTGAGACTGGCCCCGGAGGTCTGAGACCCCCCCGGACCTCTGGGACCCGGACTTAGACCTCTGAGACTGGCCCCGGAGGTCTGAGACCCCCCCGGACCTCTGGGACCCGGACTTAGTCCTCTGAGACTGGCCCCGGAGGTCTGAGACCCCCCCGGACCTCTGGGACCCGGACTTAGACCTCTGGGACCCGGACTTAGTCCTCTGAGACTGGCCCCGGAGGTCTGAGACCCCCCCGGACCTCTGGGACCCGGACTTAGACCTCTGGGACCCGGACTTAGTCCTCTGAGACTGGCCCCGGAGGTCTGAGACCCCCCCGGACCTCTGGGACCCGGACTTAGACCTCTGAGACTGGCCCCGGAGGTCTGAGACCCCCCCTGGGACCCGGACTTAGTCCTCTGAGACTGGCCCCGGAGGTCTGAGACCCCCCCGGACCTCTGGGACCCGGACTTAGACCTCTGGGACCCGGACTTAGTCCTCTGAGACTGGCCCCGGAGGTCTGAGACCCCCCCGGACCTCTGGGACCCGGACTTAGTCCTCTGAGACTGGCCCCGGAGGTCTGAGACCCCCCCGGACCTCTGGGACCCGGACTTAGACCTCTGGGACCCGGACTTAGTCCTCTGAGACTGGCCCCGGAGGTCTGAGACCCCCCCGGACCTCTGGGACCCGGACTTAGACCTCTGAGACTGGCCCCGGAGGTCTGAGACCCCCCCGGACCTCTGGGACCCGGACCTAGAGCTCTGAGACCGGACACAGACCGCTGAGACTGGCCCTGGAGGTCTGAGAAACACTTAGAAACTCCAAGTTTTCATTTGAAAGGTTGTGCTGCCATCTTGTGGACAAAGCCAACTTCCAACTTTCGCTTCCAACTTTTGCTTCCACATTTAATGGACGCACATACAAATCTGGAAGCAAAACTTGGAAGTAAGCGATTTCAATGCAAAGTCAATGGGAAAATCCTAACCCTAACCCTAACCCTAACCCTAACCCTAACCCTAACCCTAACCCTAACCCTAACCCTAACCCTAACCCTAACCCTAACCCTATCTATTACTACTTTTTCTGATCACCTGTTTCACTGAGTTATGTATTTCCCATCGTTTTCCATCGCTATAGTTTCAATAAAGTTACTTTTTCTTATAGTGCGAGCACGCTGCCACTAATAGTGTGTTGGCGCGGCGCGGCCACTAGAGGGAGCCAAAAGCAAGCAAATAATTCCCAGATTTCTCTCGTTCTTTTCAACTGTTATATTTGTAAATAGTTATTTGTATAATTCTAAACTCACTTTTTGTTATTGTTTTAGTTTCTTATATTTATAAATATTATCATTTTTCGCCTTTCTCGCTGTCCAATTCATTTCAATGCGGAACTTAAAACGTTTGTAACTCCCGAACCAAACCTTCTGAACACGCCAGTCTTGGTCCCAAGACTCTGCGACTTTCGGTTACGGAGATACACAAAAAACAAAGATTTTTTGGCAGATATCGCGAGAATGGAAAGTCCCACAGTAGAAAGGCTGGCACCATTTGAAAGCCAACCTCATGGAATGGGGGGGGGGTACATCTTGGTTTCAATGCTCTACGACGTTCCGTTTCTGAGATATGAGCCCTCAAACCTTTATGGGAGGGGGTCCCATGAGTGGTTTCTTACCCCCTATTCTAACCCTAACCCTAACCCTGACCCCTGGTTTATAGTGTCTGATAATATGGCCCTATCTATTACTACTTTTTCTGATCACCTGTTTCACTGAGTTATGTATTTCCCATCGTTTTCCATCGCTATGGTTTCAATACAGATACTTTTTCTTAGAGTGCGAGCATGCGGCCACTAATAGTGTGTTGGTGCGGCGCGGCGCGGCCACTAGAGGGAGCCAAAAGCAAGTAAATAACTCCCAGATCCCTCACTCGTTCTTCTCACCTGTTAGTGCCTTATATATTTGTAAAAAGTTATTTGTAAAATTTTGAGCTCGCTTTTTGTTATTGTTTTTATTTTCTTATATTTGTAAATATTGTAAGTACCTTTTTCCACCATCATGTAAATACTTTATCATATTATAAAATGTTTGAAAATATTTCAAAACCTTTTGTCTTCAATAGACTTCAAATGACCTAAAACGCGCTCATTTCATGATTCTGACAAAAGTTTTTGCCCAAAACACTAAGGGTCATAACATTAAGGTCAATTTTCGCCTTTCTCGCTGTCCCATTCATTTCAATGCGGAACTTAAAATGTGTATAACTCCTGAATCAAAGGTCCTAGAGACTTGAACCTTGATCCGTCAGACATAATTCGGGTCTTCTGAACACGCCAGTCTTGGTCCCTTGAGCCCTCAAACTTCTATGGTAGGGGGTACCATAGGTGGTGTTTTTACCCCCTATTCTAACCCTAACCCCCTAACCCTAACCCTAACCCTAAAAATCAATTTAAACAAAACAGCTTTCAACTATGAGGCAAGGCTGGCCTGGGTACGGCCAACGACGAATAAAATATCTATCGATCATGTGTTATGTCTGCCCTGCGCCTTACCCGTGACCACACGCTGTACGCTGCTCGACGTCGAAGGGAACGCATCTCCAGGCGTCGAAGCTGCAGCTGGTTCAGGAGGGATTGGGGACGGGGACCGTGGGGGGTCGTTTGATGCTTCACTTGCGACAAGGGATTCTGAGGCAAACACACACAACGACTTAAGTAAAAGCACAAAACTGAATGGCAACACGTGAAATGGCAAGATGTAGCACGTGTTAGCTGCTTGCTATCGATAGCTAAAAGTAGCTAGCTCACTGTGCACAGCAGACAACAATCAAACGTTTACATGAATAAATACACTCCAGTGGGCATTGAGCCACAGGTTACGTGACAATGCTTTTTCACAATAACTACAGATAAAAGTTACAAAGCACTTTCCATTATCGGCCATTCTCGACGTGGAAGAGTCCAGAGCACACTCCCGTCCATTGTTTGCAGGCCTGTGGCCATAAATGGCATCCATCTCGGCATACCACCTCCAGGTCTTCCGATTGACCCCACTTCGGCCGTTGTGGTCCTTTATGGCCCGGTAATCACTCTTCATTTTTCTAATCTTGTCCCTGCACAGCTCGTGCGTACGCTGGTAACCGTGTGCGAGCAAGAGCTGGGCGATCTCTTTATAGACCTTCTCATTTTGCGTACTGCCATTGAGCTCCTTCTGTATTGTCTTCGGCCAGTAAAGACAGAAGTATTTGGACCTCATCAACAGACCACGGTGTGGACTTTTGCGGCTTGCTGGGTTCCATTTCCCGAAGCGGAGTGCAGTGCGTATGCTCTTATGCACTTATGACGCTTCCAGTGACGACAGTCATTGGCCAAAAGTGTGAGAGTCGTTGGCCAATAGTGTAGGCAGTCCGCTCACGTCACGTCGTGGTGTAGCTTCGGCCCGCCATTGGAACCGCTCCCGAGGCGGTCCGAAAATAGAACGCAATACCTAGCTTTAACGCTGGTGGAAATGCAAAAGTAACGTGCCGTGTTGTGTCGTGTAGTACATGTACTGTGGGAAAACGGCTTTAGCTACCCTCTTCCTCGTACGTATTTGAGTCGGTGGCTCGCTCCAGGTCAAAGTTTACATTCAGCGCTAGCGGGGGGCCAACGCCGGAGCGATCCGTTAGCTCCGAGCGTGGTTGCTACTGCGACGGCCCGGGCGAGCTTATTGTGGGCTCCGGGGGCGGCTACTCTCCTTATCACTGGTGTTCTAGTCTCGTCCTCATGTTCTTGGACGGTGGGTGAGTTATTGGAGAGGTCAGAAGTGTTTTCAGCCTCTTGTGTGCTTGTGTACAGTTCCTCCAGTGGGTTAGACAGGATTGTGAGTGTTCCTGTTCTGGTCGCGGGTTCTGGGGACCCGTCTGGGTCTAGGAGGGTCCGGATCATGCGTGTGTACCTGTGCCGCAGTCCTGTTCTGATTAGGTATGTATCTCTTAAAACAGGGTCTGTCTCTACCATCAACAATAAAACATGTCTTCTGTCTGAATTAAAGACACGATCCCAGACTTTGTCACCTTCTTCCGTAGGCTAAACCTAACCCCAACTCTCTGGTCTGTATTCCAACTCTCTGGCCTTTATTCTAACTCTCTGGTCTTCATTCCAACTCTCTGGCCTTTATTCTAATTCTCTGGTCTTCATTCTGGTCTCTGTTTTACAGTTTTTTCCTGTTGCTTGAACACTATAGAGAGACGCTTAGACCAAAGTTACAGAACCTGAAGCTTTTGTTCTAAACCTAATTCACAGACTGACCATTCCTTGAAAAAAAAGTACTGCTCTGCACTTTTTGCACATTTTTACAACACACCTTTTCTTTCTACAACACCTGCTCACTACACACTGTGTCATACATAAGACACTTTGTTCATAAATATAATCCTGTGTTATCATTGGGAATGGTGCACACAATGTAAGGTGACAGCAGTACAGTGAAGTAAAGTGACGTATGATGGGCAGTAAAGTGACTTTATAAAGGGCGGGGGGACAGGTTAAGAAGTGTTCAAGAGTCCAACAGCAGAGGGGAAGAAACTGTTCTTGTGGCGGGAGGTTCTAGTCCTGATGGACCGCAGCCTCCTGCCTGAGGGGAGTGGTTGGAATAGTCCATGTGCAGGGTGAGAGGGGAGTGGTTGGAATAGTCCATGTGCAGGTGAGAGGGGAGTGGTTGGAATAGTCCATGTGCAGGGTGAGAGGGGTCGGCTGTGATACGACCAGCCCGGCCTCGAGCTCGGGCGACGTACAGGTCCTGCAGCGATGGAAGGCTGCGGCCGATCACTTCCTCTGCAGTGATGGAGGAGGTGATGGAGGAGGTGATGGAGGAGGTGATGGAGGAGGTGATGGTGGAGGTGATGGTGGAGGTGATGGTGGAGGTGATGGTGGAGGTGATGGAGGAGGTGATGGAGGAGGTGAAGGAGGAGGTGATGGAGGAGGTGAGGATGGACTCGATGATGGCCGTGTAGAACTGCACCAACATCTGTGCAGGCAGCTTGGCTTTCCTGAGCTGCCGCAGGAAGTACATCCTCTGCTGGGCCTTCTTGATGAGGGAGCTGATGGTCGGCTCCCACTTGAGGTCCTGGGTGATGGTGGTGCCCAGGAAACGGAAGGACTCCACAGAGGTGATGGGGGAGTCCATCACGGAGGGTGGGGGCGGGGGGACAGTGCTCTTCCTGAAGTCCACAATCATCTCCACTGTCTTCTGGGCGTTCAGCTCCAGGTTGTTACCACTGCACCAGGACACCAGCCGGTCCACCTCCCTCCTGTAGGAGACACCAGGACACCAGCCGGTCCACCTCCCTCCTGTAGGAGACACCAGGACACCAGCCGGTCCACCTCCCTCCTGTAGGAGACACCAGGACACCAGCCGGTCCACCTCCCTCCTGTAGGAGACACCAGGACACCAGCCGGTCCACCTCCCTCCTGTAGGAGACACCAGGACACCAGCCGGTCCACCTCCCTCCTGTAGGAGACACCAGGACACCAGCCGGTCCACCTCCCTCCTGTAGGAGACACCAGGACACCAGCCGGTCCACCTCCCTCCTGTAGGCGACACCAGGACACCAGCCGGTCCACCTCCCTCCTGTAGGAGACACCAGGACACCAGCCGGTCCACCTCCCTCCTGTAGGAGACACCAGGACACCAGCCGGTCCACCTCCCTCCTGTAGGCGGACTCATCGTTGTTGGAGATGAGTCCAATGAGGGTGGTGTCGTCCGTGAACTTGATCAGCTTCACGGAGTCGTGGCTGGAGGTGCAGTGGTTGGTGTACAGGGAGAAGAGCAGGGGAGAAAGAACACAGCCCTGTGGGGCTCCTGTATTTATAATCCGAGAGTCCGAGACATTCTTCCCCAGACGCACTCGCTGCTTCCTGTCCGTCAGGAAGTCAGTGATCCACCTGCAGGTGGAATCGGGCACGTTGAGCTGGGAGAGCTTGTCCTGGAGCAGGGATGGCAGGATTGTGTTGAAGGCAGAGCTGAAGTCCACGAACAGGACCCTGGCGTAGGTCCCCGGGGAGTCCATGTGCTGTAGGATGTGGTGGAGGGCCAGGTTAATGGCGTCGTCTACAGATCTGTTGGCTCTGTAGGCGAACTGCAGGGGGTCCAGGAGGGGGGAGGTGAGGGACTTGAGATGGGAGAGAACCAGGCGTTCAAATGACTTCATGACGACAGACGTAAGTGCTACAGGTCTGTAGTCGTTGAGTCCTGTGATCCTGGGCCTCAGTTTAGCCATTTTCAGAACTTTGCAAGTCTGGAGGCAGAGCAAGAGGTAGAGGAGGAAGAAGATATTTCTGATGACATTAGAGCAACTTTGAAGGATCATGTGACAAACCATGACCTCTCACTGAAGGAAACAGAGAGTCCAGCTCCAGCTGCATCATCAGGACCTTCTCTACTGCAGACTGTATCTACAGTATTTACAGTACTGTATCACATGTACTGTAACTCTGTACTGCAGACTGTATCTACAGTATTTACAGTACTGTATCACATGTACTGTAACTCTCTACTGCAGACTGTATCTACAGTATTTACAGTACTGTATCACATGTACTGTAACTCTCTACTGCAGACTGTATCTACAGTATTTACAGTACTGTATCACATGTACTGTAACTCTACTGTAGCATGTATCTATCAATCAATCACATTTTATTTATAAAGCGCTTTTCATACAAAAAATGTAACACAAAGTGCTTTACAGGTTAGTTAAAAACAATCCAACATGCCCAGCCTTAAACCCTCTTCCCCACAGACCCCCCCAAAACCACATTTATACTTATATATACAACCACATGCGTATACATACACGCACACACACACACACGCACACACATACACACACAAGTATAAAGTCACATCAGGTACAATAGGTAAAAAATAAAAAGAAATGGGGCTGGGAGCAGATGTAACCGACTGAAGAAGTGCCATCCAAGGAGCCATCTGCACCAGGAGCAGAGAGCCGGCTGCAGCCACAGGCAACGACACAGGACCCAGAGGAGAGAGGGGCCCCAGACCCCACCAGGCCCAGGACTCAGACCCCATAGGACCCAGAGGAGAGAGGGGCCCCAGACCCCACCAGGCCCAGGACTCAGACCCCATAGGACCCAGAGGAGAGAGGGGCCCCAGACCCCACCAGGCCCAGGACTCAGACCCCATAGGACCCAGAGGAGAGAGGGGCCCCAGACCCCACCAGGCCCAGGACTCAGACCCCATAGGACCCAGAGGAGAGAGGGGCCCCAGACCCCACCAGGCCCAGGACTCAGACCCCATAGGACCCAGAGGAGAGAGGGGCCCTAGACCCCACCAGGCCCAGGACTCAGACCCCATAGGACCCAGAGGAGAGAGGGGCCCCAGGCCCCACCAGGCCCAGGACTCAGACCCCATAGGACCCAGAGGAGAGAGGGGCCCCAGACCCCACCAGGCCCAGGACTCAGACCCCATAGGACCCAGAGGAGAGAGGGGCCCCAGACCCCACCAGGCCCAGGACTCAGACCCCATAGGACCCAGAGGAGAGAGGAGGCCCCAGACCCCCACCTGATCCAAGAGCCAGTCCCCCGAAGCCACAGCAGACCCCAGCTCTCAGTGCAGAGGGCTCCTCCAGAGGAAACACTGGGGACACTAAAACAATTCAATAATACAATAGAAAGTAGAACAATAAAATGAGACACTAAAAAGAAAAATGGCAGCTGCCTAATATTGATAATAACAATAGTAAATGGGTAGATGCAATAAATAATTAAAAACCATTAATAGATGTATTAAAAAGCACTAATAAATAATGAATAATAATCAAAAGCTACTTTAAAAAGGTGCGCCTTGAGCCTACTCTTAAAAATATGAACGTTCTCTGCTCTTTTAAAGATTTTAAATGATTTTAGAATCTGAGAACTGAGGCTGCAGTCTCTTTGCTGTGGTTCACCCTAAAACCTGATTCAAATTTCTCTCAAATTTGCTGCTACTATCTACAGTATTTACAGTACTGTACAGTATCACATCTATCAATCAATCAATCAAAGTTTATTTGTAGAGCTCTTTCATACACAGGGCAACACAAAGCGCTTCACAGTCCACATCACAAATCATCACATAAAACAAACACCGGAATCACAATTAAAACATTAAAATCACACGTTTTAAAAAGTAAATAAATAAATGACAACAGTGCATTAGAAATGGAGATAAAATCCTTCAGTTGTATGCACAGGCAAACAGAACAGTCTTTAACCTGGATTTGAACATTGACAGAGTAGACGCCTCTCTCACATTTTCAGGGAGATTGTTCCAGATCTTAGCAGCATGGATCTGAAACGCAGCCTCCCCATGTTTGGTTCTCACTCTGGGCACCAGGAGGAGGCCAGTCCCTGTGCTCCTCAGAGTCCCAGCAGGAGTCCAGTCCCTGTGCTCCTCAGAGTCCCAGCAGGAGTCCAGTCCCTGTGCTCCTCAGAGTCCCAGCAGGAGGCCAGTCCCTGTGCTCCTCAGAGTCCCAGCAGGAGGCCAGTCCCTGTGCTCCTCAGAGTCCCAGCAGGAGGCCAGTCCCTGTGCTCCTCAGAGTCCGGGCTGGTTCATATGACACCAACATGTCACTAATATATTTTGGTGCGAGGCCATGGAGAGACTTGTACACAAGCAGAGCTGTTTTAAAGTCTATTCTCTGAGCCACAGGAAGCCAGTGCAGAGACCTGAGGACCGGACTAATATGGTCGTACTTCCTGGTTCTAGTCAGGACTCAAGCTGCTGCATTTTGAATGTACTGCAGCTGTTTTACAGCCTGTTTGGACAGACCTGTAAGCAGGCCATTGCAGTAGTCTAGCCTGCTGGAGACAAATGCATGGATAAGAATCTCCAAGTCTGCCCTGGACACTTTATTTCTAACTTTGGCAATGTTCTTCAGATGGTAAAAAGCTGTTGATGTTATTGATTTTATGTGGCTATTGAAATTTAGGTCTGAGTCCAGTATTATCCCTAAATTTCTCACCTTGTCTGAAGGCAGTAGGGAGAGAGACTGAAGTTGACAAATGACGCCCTCTCTTTGTTTCTGGGGACCAAAGACAATGATTTCGGCTTTCCCATATCACCCGTTGTCCATTGTCTGTTTCATGGTACGATGACGGGACCTCTGAGCCTGGCCTCCTCCATCTACACTTTTTCTCACTTTTTCCCACTGGGTTTTTTAAGAGTTTTTCCTTGTGGATGCAGGAGGGTCTTGTTGGACAGTTAGTGTCCAACAGAAAGGATTGGTGATGATCAGGACACTTTAGCATTCTACAACATGTATGGACATTTTCTTCTGTGTGTGCTTTATATTCTTCATGTGTTTTAACTGTTGATTCTCTGACCTGTGTTGGTGATTTCAATGGTTTTGTTAAGTCTCTGAGATGATTTTGTTGTGACCTAGGGCTATACAACGATACATTGTATTGTATTGTACTGTAACTCTCTACTGTAGACGATGACAATGTATTTGACAATGTATTCACATTTTGCACTGATTAGCCTGCCTCACACTTGACTTTTTATCCCCCTTTTGGTCCCCATATCCCCTTTCCCTTGTGATGGGCAGAGAAGCTCAAAATAATAAATTGATAACTAAATAAATGAAAAATGATTATAATAACAGAGTAGTAAATTAAAATAACAATAAAAATAATAATTAAAAAGATAATATAATAATTAAACAAAACAAACAAAAAAGGTTCAAGACATCTAAAACAAAATTTGTTTGAGTTTTGATAAAGGAGTTTCATTTTGAGACAGATGTGAATGGTTTATGTCCCAGTGTTGTGTCAGGTTATCTTGTGTGTAGAGTTTTGGGACAATGAGCAAAAATTAGCAAAATGTGTTCAAGCAACAGGAAAAAACGAACTCTCAAAAATCCCCTGATGCCAAAGTTGAGAAAAGGTGGGCGAGTGACATGCGGGCGAGGCAGGGTGCAGGGTCTGGGCGAGTGACATGCGGGCGAGGCAGGGTGCAGGTTCTGGGTGAGTGACATGCGGGCAAGGCAGGGTGCAGGTTCTGGGTGAGTGACATGCGGGCGAGGCAGGGTGCAGGTTCTGGGTGAGTGACATGCGGGCAAGGCAGGGTGCAGGTTCTGGGTGAGTGACATGCGGGCGAGGCAGGGTACAGGTTCTGGGCGAGTGACATGCGGGCGAGGCAGGGTGCAGGTTCTGGGTGACTGACATGCGGGCGAGGCAGGGTGCAAGGTCTGGGAGAGTGACATGCGGGCGAGGCAGGGTGCACGTTCTGGGTGAGTGACATGCGGGCGAGGCAGGGTGCAGGTTCTGGGTGAGTGACATGCGGGCGAGGCAGGGTGCAGGGTCTGGGTGAGTGACATGCGGGCGAGGCAGGGTGCAGGTTCTGGGCGAGTGACATGCGGGCGAGGCAGGGTGCAGGTTCTGGGCGAGTGACATGCGGGCGAGGCAGGGTGCAGGTTCTGGGCGAGTGACATGCGGGCGAGGCAGGGTGCAGGTTCTGGTGGTGACATGCGGGCGAGGCAGGGTGCAAGGTCTGGGTGAGTGACATGCGGGCGAGACAGGGTGCAAGGTCTGGGGAGTGACATGCGGGCGACAGGGTGCAAGGTCTGGGTGAGTGACATGCGGGCGAGGCAGGGTGCAAGGTCTGGGTGAGTGACATGCGGGCGAGGCAGGGTGCAGGTTCTGGGTGAGTGACATGCGGGCGAGGCAGGGTGCAAGGTCTGGGTGAGTGACATGCGGGCGAGACAGGGTGCAAGGTCTGGGTGAGTGACATGCGGGCGAGGCAGGGTGCAAGGTCTGGGTGAGTGACATGCGGGCGAGGCAGGGTGCAGGTTCTGGGCGAGTGACATGCGGGCGAGGCAGGGTGCAAGGTCTGGGTGAGTGACATGCCGAAGTACCGCTGAAAGCGAAACTCATCCGTACGCAGCTCCTGGAGTAAATGGTGAAACTCAGCAAACACTGCAGCCTCAAGTCTGTGGTGAACCCAGAACAATAACAACTAAAGTTAAATATTTGTCATGGCAACCAGCTGCATTCAACATTTTGAAAAAACTTATTTGACCAAATAAATCATTGTATTTATTTTTACCAACCGTAACCAACTAGGGCCAAGCCAAAGTAGCCCTATGTATTCCCTGGGTCAGTCTTAGAAACATTAGTTTTCCCCACTAATCGGGTTCACAGTGTGTGCGGCACGGTGGCTGAGTGGAATGGCACTCTCGCTTCTTGACACGAAGGTCCTGGGTTCTAATCCTGACCGGAACAGGGCCTTTCTGAGTGGAATTTGCATGTTCTCTGTGTCTGCACAGGTTTCCTCCGGGTGCTCCGTGCCCAAGTGACCTTGGTCTGTAAAATGCGCTATTTAAATAAACATCATGATGGTTTAATGTGGGGGCTAATTTAAACTCAAAATGGTAAGTTATTGTAGGGGACAGTAATCTGAACTTAAAAAAGTCCGTTTTTACAGACTTGAAATTTGCAGTAACTTGAATTTAATTCTTAGTTGGCAGAACTTGGAAAACTGACACAACATAACTTAAGTGTAGTTCTTAACTAATTAAGTTAATGCCTTCAACTCAAAAATCCTTCGCAGCTGGTTGCTTTGAAATTTTGAGTTGAACTAACTTTTTCTTTTATACAGTGTGGGCTCTCTCGCTGGTCTTTATTCTAACTTGCTGGTCTCTCTCTCCCTCTCTAACTATCTCTCCCTCTCCCGTCCTCTCTCTTTCCCTCTCCCTCCCTCTCTCCCTCCCTCCCTCTCTCCCTCTCCCTCCCACTCCCACTCTAACTCTCTCTCTCTCTCTCTCCCTCTCTCTCTCTCCCCTCTCTCCCCTCTCTCCCTCTCTCTCCCTCTCTCTCCCTCTCCTCCTCTCTCCCTCGATCTCTCTCCCACTCCCACTCTAACTATCTCTCCTTCTCTCTCTCCAACTCTGTAGAAACCTTGGCGAGTGCACGTGTATGCTACCCAGTGCTGCCAGGCCGCCCCCACACGCCACAATATGGGGTTCAATTCATCCCGACAGCCTCTCAGTCAAAAAGTAGGAGGGTCCCAAGCGTTTAGCCCCCATGTCCCAAATAAAGAAACAACATTGGCAATTGTGAATTTGACACATTAAATAGCTTTGGTAATTAGCATGTCCCTGTTTAGAGCTGCAGCATTCAGCAGCGTGTTGAATGTGTTTGGTTCTGCCCTGTCCATCACATGGGACCACCCCATTTGGGGGTCATTATTTTACTCGCGCCTCTGCGGCCTTTCACACTCATATAGCATCCGCGCTAACGTCCCCCTCAATCAAAACAAATTAGGTAGCCTAATTAGTGGCTACAGTTGCCAAGCATGGCAGAGGCTAATAGTTCCAGCACCCAGAATCAGGTTGTGTTTGAGGGAAGGTTTGGCTCACGGTAACAGCTACTATGTGTATGCTACTTTGACGTTTTATGCTAATCGCGGCGTCAACATAGCGTAGCGCTATGTGACTGTAAAAGAGCAAAATACATCGCTTTTGTGGAGTGCTGTAGCATTTAGCCATGTTAGCTGTGTCTCATTGGCAGACGTGGAACTCTATATGGACTATTTGATTAAAGACGTAACCTGCTACGGTGACCTGCTGTTGTATCGCAAGCTTTGCACATCTAGAGACTGGAAGTTTTGCCCATTTGCCTGTAAAAAAAACAGTTAAAGAAGAAATATCACAGCATTATTTTTGAACTTTGATAAATACTCACTGGCCACTTTATTAGGTACACCTATCCAACTCCACTTTAATGCAAAATCCTCATCAGCCAATCACATGGCAGCAACTCAATGCATTTAGGCATTTAGACATGGTCAAGACGATCTGCTGCAGCTCAAACCATCAGAATGGGGAAGAAAGGTGATTTAAGTGACTTTGAATGTGGTACGGTTGTTGATCAGACGGATCAGATGAAAAGGCTTAGTGCCTTCATAAAGGACCTTAAAACGTGGATGACTTAACTTCCTACTGCTTAATCCGGAGAAAACAGAAGTGATCCTACTCGGTCCAAAGCGCCTGCGTGACTCCCTCGCCGACCAGATTGTACCCAGCAACACTGTGAGGAATCTTGGAGTCATTTTTGACCAAGAACTCTCCTTCAAGGCTTATATAAACCAAGCAACTAAAACGGCTTATTTCCACTTGCGGAACATCGCTAAAATCAGGAATTTCCTTCCTAAAAGTGAAGCCGAAAAACTAATCCACGCGTTTGTCACCTCAAGGCTCGACTGTAACGCTTTACTGGCAGCGTGCCCTAAAGCCTCTTTGAAGAGCTTCCAGCTCGTTCAGAATACAGCAGCTAGGATCTTAACAGGTACCAAAAGGAGGGAGCACATAACTCCGGTGTTAAAATCACTCCACTGGCTCCTGTGGAGTACAGAATAAAGTTTAAAATCCTTCTCTTAACATATAAAGCCATAAATGGCTTGGCTCCTTCTTATCTCCAAGACACGTTAGTGTCGTATCAACCAGGTCGAGCGTTGCGCTCACAAAACTATCGGTGGCAGAGCATTTAGCTCCAAGCTCCTTTACTGTAGAATCAGCTCCCCACGCACATTAAGGAAGCAGACACTGTCTCTACAGTGTCTTCTCCCCCTGCTGGAGAAGTATGGTAACAGCACTATCCTCTCCTCCTTCCTACTTTATTTGTTTTGCATTATTAGGATTAGTTTGTTCATTGCTATTCATCCGTTGTCCCATTGTCTGTTCCATGGTACGATGACGGGACCTCTGGACCTGGCCTCCTCCAGATACACCTGCGGACTGGGGGGCGGAGCCTGTGTCTATAAAAGAGGACACCGAACAGAGTGCCTCCAGTGTAGAACTCGCCTGAGGAAGACACAAGAAACTGTCGAAACGTAGCGCATACATATTTTCTACACATCAACTCTAGTATAGAGTAATTTGGGAACCCCCAGGACACAAGATGGCGGCCACCATGGTGGTTGCTAGTGCCTAGGGACCTCCACTTGGTCCAGAGTCAGGAAGAGGGCCCGTGCATTTGCTGTCCCCTTCGGGGGACAGTGACTTTGTATACACACGCTGACTGTATCGGCCTCCAGTCACACAGATCTTAGTCCAATAGTAAGTAATGTTTAGTAAGTAAGTCCAATAGAGACACTTTGGGATGGAACAGGAGCATCATGGATGTGTATATATATTTGTGTGTATATATATATATATATGTATATATGTATATGTATATATATATATATATATATATATATAATTTGTATACATACATAGAGACAGTTTTGAGGCAAACCCGGTACTAGCAAGGTCTACTTAATAAAGTGGCCAGTGAGTGCATAAGGAGACTATTTTCTGTGACATGTTAGTAAAATGAACCAACTCTGAGGAGCACAGGGACTGGCCTCCTGCTGGGACTCTGAGGAGCACAGGGACTGGCCTCCTGCTGGGACGCTGAGGAGCACAGGGACTGGCCTCCTGCTGGGACTCTGAGGAGCACAGGGACTGGACTCCTGCTGGGACTCTGAGAGCACAGGATGGCTCTGAGAGAGCACAGGGACTGGCCTCCTGCTGGGACTCTGAGGAGCACAGGGACTGGCCTCCTGCTGGGACTCTGAGGAGCACAGGGACTGGCCTCCTGCTGGGACTCTGAGGAGCACAGGGACTGGCCTCCTGCTGGGACTCTGAGGAGCACAGGGACTGGCCTCCTGCTGGGACTCTGAGGAGCACAGGGACTGGCCTCCTGCTGGGACGCTGAGGAGCACAGGGACTGGCCTCCTGCTGGGACGCTGAGGAGCACAGGGACGGACCTACTGCTGGTCCCAGAATTAGGACTAAACATAAGGAGGCAGTGTTTCAGATTTGCTTAAATCAGGAACAGTCTTCTTGAGACAGTGTGAGACAGACTTCTTCTCTGACATAGTTCAAATCCATCTTAAACACGGTTTTATCTTTACTCTTTTTAAAGTTTTTCCAGTACTTTGAGTTGCCTTGTGTACAAACTGTGCTATACAAATACATTTCATGCGGGTTAGTCATTTTAGGACATTCCCTTCACGTGTCATAATTCTTTCTCTCCAAACCTCCATAACCTACTGTAGCCACAGCTGCCCTGGGGCACACTGACAGAAGCAAGGAAACCAGTCTGTGCCATCGGCCCCTCCCACCACCAACCATTCACACACACACCAGACTCATTTTAATGTGGGGGAAGTGTCTTGCCTAAGGACACAACTACAGTTTAAGGCTACACTTTTTATTGTACATAATAAATCCTGCATTTAACATGTTGCACATTTCTTTCTTTTGCACAATCTGAGTGTTTCTATCCATGCCAGATGTGACATGTACATTTCTCCTGTGTGAGATCAATAAAGTATTTCTTATCTTATGTTACACCAAACCTTGACATGTTTCAATGACATACTTCCTCTTCCTCAAAGGCATTAATCTACACATCATTGCATGACTGGAATGTATCGCACAACAATGACAACACAATAACAACACAACGTTAGCTGAAGCCAAAGCTCCTAGCTTACAGCACAGTGGAAAACAGTGCCTCCTAAACCTGGCTGGAGAGTGTGACCCCAGAGTCTGTGTCTCTACATTAATATGGAAATGAGCCAGAGAATGACAGGTGGCTCGTCCACAGCTCAATTAGAGCTCTCATTAAACACAGAGTAAACGTTGGCCACGGCGCCAGTGAAAGGAGCGTGTGAAGGAGAGAAATCAGAGGTTAGCCAGAGACACGGCCATTTCTAATAAGCAGCGAAGGAGTCAATCAAACGAGTTACCTGGTAATGAGCTGGCCCAAGTTGTGTGTTAGTTTGTGTTTCTAATCTATAAAGGCTGTTAAATGTTTTATTATGTACGGGGAGGTTTTCTTTATAGCTCATGTTGTTTACACTGCAAAAAGTGATGAGAAATAAGTCAAAAATAGCTCTGATAATAAATGGGTTTTATAGAGTGCTTTTATGGACGCTCAAAGAATGGGTTTATC